TATCCTACTCCCCCACATGTCTTAGGTTCTAGTGTGTGATTTGTTGTCCTTTTCCCCACATACAGATAATTCTATCCCTTTGCTTCTGGTAGTAGTTTTGAAGAATTTCTGTGGAATTCAGCCTATCCAAAATGACAGAAAGGCAATAATATTTCAGTTCAAAGGTTTGGTTTCATATATAGCAGGTTCTGACTTTCATAGGTGGCATTTTTGTCAATTCTCCAATTTTACCTTTGGTTTCTCTCAGTAATGACCCTGATGTTAAGATAGACTTAAGACATCACTGATATTGTCCACTCATAATTCACCACTGTGGAATTGCACAGCTTCTCCCATAGTTCTGCCTTTTGAATTAAGGTGATGCAACAATCACATGCCTTTTGGAATGGCTGTCCTTCCAAAGAGGTTCTGAAGTTGTTTGTCTATTTAGCCTGAGTTCTCCTAACTGCTGTGCAAAATTTGGAGTTGGTAGCCTGGACTTGGACATTCCTCAGAGTTGCACCCTTTGATTATGGCCTCAGGATCCTGTTAATCCATCTGACTAAAAGGCAAAGTATGGCTGAAAACTAGAGTGAAGCTGCCCTTATTTTGAGAAGGCAGATCATTTAACAGAGCACATGGTCCTTTTCTGGCATGAGCCTTTGGGAAACATGGAATGACATGCCACATGAGTGAGGGTGAAAGTTTAAACAGTCACTTTTCCACCTGAGTGCAGCTCTATTTTGGTGTTTTCTTTTTTCTCCTTTATTGTCAGATGCAGGATGGAGGCAAGAGAAAAATGTTTTTTTCTGCCTGAAGCGTACTATTCTAACCTCATTCAATACACAGAGCACAGCAATTGGTTTACCTCATTTCTGGGATATTTTGGTGATTCCTGAGGAGCATATTGAATTATTACCCCCTTTCCTTAGGAATGAAAAAGAAAACCTGAAAAAAAGGCTTAATTCTTCTGGGATGAGTCTTAATATCTTTAAACTGGTGTTCATTCTCTCGCTCTTTTCCTCCCCCACTTCAATTATGAGCAATTGGGTGGTAGTAATTAACAATTGTAGAGAGAAACATCTGCTAGTACACTTAAGCCAGTCAGTTTGTTTTTCGTGAAAGAATGGTATTTCACAATTTTTCCAAGTTAATATTTTTCCTTTATTGTCTTTCCAATTTCAAATATTGTCCAGACGCATTTTTATAGTGTCTTAAGGTTATAGAAGTGAATACAAGACCATTAATAATGAACAAGAAAAGAACATAATAAAGAAAACATATGCAATATTTCAATTCATGAAACATTCTGTTAGGGAACATTGTTTTTGAGAGCATATGGTTATTCCCATGAGAAGCAATTCATACACTTTTTTTCCCCTCCAGTTGTGGATTCCCACAACAAGGGTATGTTTCTCCGTGTATTTGTCTATGTAGCACGTTCTTTTTGTCAGGACTTGTTATCTGAGCAGGGAGGTAAGTAAGTATTTTTGCACAGATGATGAGGTATGCAGACCTATTTCTGATGGCCTAGACTTTGGAAGCACAAGCCTATTAATTCTCCACACTCCTTTGAGATAGCTATCTTGTCTGGTCTGGTTTAATATCATTGGCAGAGCTGAAAGGAAGTTCGCATTGTGAATATATCCGAACCTTGGCATGTGGCTCACTGGTAGATCTCTGTTTACAGGCTGCCAGTTTTAACTGTCCCAAGCAGACATTCTCATTTTATTTATAAGTAGGCTCTGCATGTGTTTGTATCCCTCATGAAATTGAGCACATGTCAATAGTCAAAACTAAGTATAGCAGCAAGATACCAAACACTTCTCCTTCTCTTCTCGGACAAAACAGTATGTATTTTTAAATGTTCATTGTGTTTGGATAAGGCATGTGGGGATATGTGCACAGACACATTATTTGATCACTTGTAAATAATATTTTAGATTCTCCATATTGCCCTTTAAAGTTTCCTCAGTTAGATTTCATTTTTCTTTGCTGAATGAAACTTGACATCAGGATGAGATCACCAGATTTCCCCATTTCATTTGAGCTCCAAAATGAGTAACTGATTTCAAAGGATAATTCCCTGGAGCAGCAAGGCCAATAAGTTCTTCAGATCAAAGGTCAGCAAAGCTCAAAGAGGATAATTTCTGGCATACAGTATTTAAACCCTCCCAAGGAGTGTACTGCAAGATGTATCCCCTCCTTCCCCAATAGTTGAACCCTTGTTTTTTTAGAAGACTAATTTGTCAGTGCACATTTTTTTCCTCTGTTGCATAAATTATACATTAAAGTGAAAGCTTCCTATCTGAACATGCAAACTGTACATCCAGAAAGGTTGTTAACCCTGCCAGGGGAAGGGCTGCTCCTGCAGCAGAAGGTAACTCCGTGCTGTTCCTCTCTGAAGCACCTGGCGGACTGGGGAGCTCTGGTGCTCCATGCTTATGCCAGTTGCTTTCAGCACAGTGCAGGAGCATGGTGGTGGAAAGGTGGGAATGCTCTGTAAGACACTTTGTTCAGACAGAAAACCCAACAAATAGCACTGTGCAGGCAGCAGGCACCTCGTGCAGCATGTGTCTCACAGTGCTATGCCTAATGCAGTCTGCCATGCCATTGTTGTTTGGGATGCTGACCCTCAGGAGATAAAAGACAACTGTAGGAGTCTTAGCCATCATGGACTTTTAAACATTTAAAAGAATGTGTGATAACAGGAGTGGATATTTGTATTTCCAAATGGCTGTTTACTGCCCCAAAGAAGCTGGTCATACCAGTCCAGCTTTCATTTATTTCACATTCCGTACAGCAAAGTTGGGAGGGATTGCAAAAGCCTCTTTTACAGAAGTTTTTATCAGGTTATAACTGTTATAATGTGTGAACAACCAACCACTGGTACAGATGAGGCACTGAAGATCTAGGGATGTGTCTAATATCAGTGTAGCTGTCCTTGTTATGAAGGCCCAGGTTACCTTTTCAACAAAGCTGGACTGAAGTAGACAAACAAATACTGTCTGTTGTTGTGTGGGGGTCTTCCTGTGACTTTAGCTTTGAACTTCTAGGAATGTGGAGTTGTATTTATGGGCAAAGTGAGTATAGAACGAACAGCTCTTTGTTAGATGTACTTCAAAGTTATGTATTGCAAATAATATTTACTTTAATACCTGTCTTACCTGTGATAAACACTATACAAAAGCCTCCTCAGAAATAGTCCCTTCTCATCCAGTAACACCAGTTAAAAGAATTGGGGAAGAAACTGATGTGAAGCAGCTTTGTCTTCCTTTGTTTGACCTTCCTATTTAGCTTATGTTTGGTAAGGACTCATAACATGACTTGGAGTAGAAATCAAAGTATATCAGCATGTCAGTATGTGTACAATAAACACCATCACATTGGTATAATGCAAATTACATGTGTGTGTGTTGGGCAGCTGGTGTTAGTATAACATCAAAACCACCAGTCCATATCAAAGACAGGAAATTCCCAAGGTCAACATTTCTACTTTATTCCCTTTTCTTTACTGTACATCCATCTTATATAACATATCACAGTTTTGAAAACAAACAAAAGTAATACAATAATGTTAAATTTATAGAAATGAGACTGTGATACATATTGCAGTGTGACAGTGTGAATGTTGGGGCAGAAATCTTCTGGAATTTCTGAGAGTATGAAGCTATGGTAATGGGAAGTTTTTTATGGTGTTTGTGGGTTTTGTTTTGTTTTTTGTTTGTTTGTTTTGCTTTTGTTGTTGGTTGGTTTCTTGAAGCTAATTTTTATATTTTAAACATGAAAGAAAGTCCTGGAAAATGGCTAATAGATTATCTTAACTTCTAGCATGTTAGTAACTTGCTATCCTGAAAGAATGGTTGGGAGGCAGCTCAGCAGTGTGGAACACCAGGAGAGCCAGTAAAACCAGTTTGAAATGGGTCACCCTGAACTGGAGGGGATCATGTCACCTTTTTTGTAAGGAATCTGACTTGATTGAACTGGCACTTAATGAGATGCTGCTGCCAAAGGCATCCCCCAGAAACAGTTCCTAACATAGCATTAGGATAAAGGCTTTGGGTAGATGCAAATGCTGTAGTGCAAGAGAGGAAAATGCTGACTTTAGGAGCTGTGTTTTTGCAATTTTGCTGGTTTTTGGGGAGTTGGAAGGATTACTGCTATATGCAATGGAGTATGAGCATAACGTTGGCAGAGGTGTGTGGATATGTAAAAAATCACATCTAAAAGTCTGAGAGTGGGGTTAAAAAGTCTTTGTATATTTTCATAATGCTAATGAAGATAGAACTAGTTTTCTTCAGATTTCATCCTGTGCAAGGCTGAATGCCCCTGCAGGAGCCAAAGGAACAGCTATTAAGTTCTAGGCATTTGTCTTCTAATCCACATGAGAAGCATATATCTGTTATATAGCTGATATATGTTATGATATGTTGTGATAGATATTAATATTGATGCTCTTTATGAGTGCTATTGATTTATGCAAGTGCCTGATGTTTTTACTAGAACTTGAGTGAAATATGCTATTTCATGCATTGAAAAAACGCAGCTTAACCTTTTTGGCAGGTAGTGTTACCTTCTTGGAGGGTACTAAGCTTTGTGTGTGTTTGAAGAGTGAAACTGGAACAGAATGAGGGCTTTATTTCAGCTTCATTACTTCACTCACTGCTGGTGAACGTGATGGGTTTTCTTCGCGATATGTCAGAAACTTTCAATATTTTGCAAATTATTCAGCTTATTTGCAGTAACAGTTCTGCTATTTTATATTCTTATAATATTGTGTTTGAACTTCCTGTGACTCTAGTGATGTTTGTAGGAAAGGCTGTGTACCAAAAGCTGTTAGTAGATTGTCTGCTGAAATTATCCCAGATGTGTAGTGAACACAAAAGCAAATCAAGTATAATGATCTTCTCATACAAGTTTGCTGATATCAATTTCACCCTAAATATAAAGACAGATTTGCAAATATGAGACTGCTTTGACATTTCCTTATAAGCATTTTTTCTTAAATATGCTTTTCGCAGTGGCTTTGCCTCCAGAGAAGACAGATGGAGTTTGCAGTGGAGATGAAAAGAAAGCAGAAAAAGAAAGTGACACACGCACAAGTTCCAAGAAGCAACTGAAATTTGAAGTAAGTCCTTTGTATTTTAAAGTTTCACTGTACTGACATAATTATGGTAGAAAAATAACCTGTGGACCAGATAGTGTCATCTGATGGATGTTTGTTGCTCCCAGTGTTTGTAGTGGGTGCAGGAGGCAGCAGAACAGGCACAAATCAGTGCCTTTCTATTGGTGCTCCTTACAAGGTGTTTAGTGACACTTATTTCCAGGTTTGGAGAGAATGAAATGATGAGTATTTCTCTGCAGGATCTGAAATGCATAGTAAGAAGAAGCTTTCAGTTCAACCCTTTATCTATCAAGCCAGCTACCATATTATCAAATCTTTAAATTGACTTTCATGGACTACTGCACTTGGTTAAATCTGCCTAATATAAAAGATGCCTATGAAAGCTTCTGCAATGATTGATCTTCAGTACCCAGGTCTCCAAAGTGAGATAACCCTGACCTGCTACACAGGAAATCCATCTGATCATATGGCAGGAGGAGATGGAGGAAGATGAGTCCTATGGGCTTGTAGTCCTTGTAGACTTGCAAACACCATATAACTTTCAGACCTTGTGTGTAGTTGGCAGTTTTTATTTCTGTAGGGAGCATTTTCATAAATATGGGTATGGCAACATGCACCCAGCTATTGGGTTGTCTGTCTTGGTGAGGAGGAAGATACTGTGGCACCAGCAAAAACCAGCACAAATATTCACCTCGGCACTCCAGCAGATAGGGCAAACCTCTGCCTTTTGGTGCTGTCAGCCTCTAGGTAATGAGCTTTGTGTTTCTTCAGTTGATGTTTAAAATCAATGCAGCCACCTTGCAGCATGGCTGGAGTGTTCTTTTCCTTCTCAGTCTGGTACAATTTTATTTTTTATTGTTTTAAAGCAAATTAGGGAGAGGTAGGTTTCCCATGGGTAGTTCAGGTGTTGCTTGTGTGCCTTCTGGGGAGGTGAACTTTTTTTTTTTCTTCCTTTTCTTTTTGCATAGCTATTACTCTTTTTCTAGGCCCATTTTATATTCTACCTCGAGTAGCAGACATTTGCAGACAGGAAAGGCATGATAAATTGCAGTTAACAGTGCCTTGACATTTGAACGTTGGAGGACACCTGTCAACATGGTTGGTGCCAGAGTAGCTGGAACTCCACAGCACCAGCAAAGTCTGTGTTTGTTCCCAAGTAGTTCTTGGCATGCCATAAAGGTTAGCACTTGGTTCTAGGCACCGTGACTAATACGGGGAAGGTTTCCATGGCTCTTAACTAAGCGGAGCACATCCTCACATAAAGATGTTATGTTAGGCAATGTGGGACAGGGAAGTATTAATATGTGGCAAGAAACCAAGTATTGATATTTTTTCCCCTTGTTCTACAAATGAAAGTTTTCCAGCAATGTAAGCTGGGAGCTAAGAGACTGGTAAATGCTTCAAAGGTATAAAAGAATCAGAAATGCAAGTGTTGTGACAAGAGGTCTAAGTCTGAGGTGAAAGTGATTTTGCTTTTAAAGGTGCCGGGAATGTTTATGTAATCTGAAACTGTGTTTCCACAGTGGAGTGTGGGGCACTTGGCAGCTCTCAGCCGGGCTTGTTACAACCCAGAGGAGGCTGCCTTTGAACTCGGCAGGGGACAGGGTGCCCATTACTGCTGTAGGGAGTTGGTTTCAAGTCAGAAGATCAACCAGGTATTTTGAGGTCGATCATGCCGAAGCTATTTGGGGCTGTTTGTTTTACTTGCATACAGTGACTTTTCATTTTAATTGCACTGTAACTTCTCTGTTTTGCCTTTTTGTGGCTCTGGATAATTCTGATTGCACAGGCCTTGAGAGACAGCAAACGATTTGCACCCAGGTGACTGGAGTCAGTCAAAGTGCATCCTTTGTTCTTGGTTTTGGTTTGGGGATTTTTTTTCCCCTTTAACAAATTGGTTCTTTCAGGCTTTCCACAGAACACACTCTCACTAACAGAAGCATAGTTAAAACAAGGAGCAGGCACTACTCTCGGGTTGTCCTTGCCAGTTCCGAGGCAGGCTCTGTTTCAGGAGTTTCAGTGGCATGATGTACTGCACTAACTCTGACAACCTTTTCCTGTCAATATCTGTCAAGGACTGGTCTCTCTGATGGGGATCTGTGTCCGTTCTGCATTAACAAGGATTAAACTCCTGGCCCTGTGATGTGCCACCTCCTTCTGTGAGTCTGCTTCTGTTGTCTTCCTCTTCCTGAGTTAAACACAGCTTTCCTTCTCATGTTTTAGTGGGGACTCCTACTATCTTTCAAGAGCTTCAGGGAATAGTCTTCTTGTACCTTTTTCTGTTTCCTACAGTGTTAGTAGAAAGCAAGTTGTGAATTCCCTGAGGTGTAGCCCAGAGAGTTAGGAGTGTTTTGTGATTGTGATGGGACCTCTTCATTGTGGTGGGCAGAGGCCTCTCCAGGACATATCCTCAGAGCTTCTCCCACAAGGGAGGGAGGAAGCAAGAAAGCAAGCAGCCTCCTACAGAGAGTCTCCCCTGCAAACAGGCCTTTTGCTTTAGGTAATCAGCTGCTCTTTGCATGTTTCTTAGGAATTGCAATGTGATGTGTCTGTAGAGGAAGATAACAGGCAAGAATGGACCTTCACACTGTATGACTTTGATAACAACGGAAGAGTCACACGTGAGGTAAGCAAAGTACAGCTGCCCCTTTATGAGGAACACTTGCTAACAAGAGAAGTGTTTTATAACAGGAACATTTTTTCTAATATGAAGTAGAGGTGTCCTGCCAACTTAAACAGCAGTTTCCATGGACCCTTCCCTCATAGAAACAATCCCACCAGTAGTTTACTGTTTTCAGATCTACTGTACCCTTTTTTTTTTTAAGCTGGTTGTTGTTTAATACCTGAGATTAGCCTTTAAAAAATAGTACTGGCATTTGAGGAGGAAAAATATCTGAAACAACTGAACAGCTAAACACATTGTCAAAATAAACCCCTGCAAATGTATATTGTTCTGACTTCTCTCCTGCTTTTCAGAGTTAAGCTAACCAAATAGCAAGGTTGCTTGCTGACATTCTTTCCAACTATACTCTTCTATTGTTTTCATGAATATTGGGCTGATCTCTGCCTTTTGCCTCCAAGTATAAATCACACTGATGATGTTCTCTGGAGTACCATAAAGAATGGCTGTCAAAGCATATCTTTGTGTATTTTTTATTATCAGGATGTCTTCAAGCCAAATAAGAGAGTGTATAAATTGGGATATTGTCCTTTTTGAGAGCTATTTCTGCCCAAACTGAATAGTACTTCTAGAAGAATGTCTTCTATTTGGCATTTATGCCATGTGCTGTCATTGATTTTTGTGATGTGTGTTTACTGGCTCCTATGCCTTTAGATAATCAACTGAAAATCAAAGGCTTTTTCTCACTTAGATCTAATGCTGGTGCCTGTGACAATTGCTAAAAACTGTTTGAAAGCAATAGGGCAAATAATGAAAGTGTAGTGGCCTTAGACACCAACTGAGGGCAGAATTTTTTTCTGTAAGTCTGAAGCAAATTTCTTTTGACGTTGCCAAATGTTGTTCAGGCTTTTTAACATGTATTTGAACATCATTACAAGGCTATTTTTATTGTCTCTGCTCTGAAGGTGGTTTGAGTAGTGAAGTGAAATCTGTGCCCCTTATGGACAAGAACGAGCAGATGAAAAGTTTCAGGCTAAGTCCAGAGTTTCAGATAGGAAGATGCAATAGAGAGGGCAAGAAGGAGGGGTGAGGTGAGGAAGTACTATTGCATTTGTTAATGTTTGTGGAACAGAGACTAGAAAAATGAAATAACTTGCTTTAAGTCTCACAAGAACCTAGTGGCAGATTGAATCCAGGTCCTTCAAGACCCAAGGCTAAGTCATCGTTACAAGATTATTGTGACTCTCAAAAATAGGGGAAAAACACAAAACCCAAACCCACACACAAGGGTGTCTTTTACATTCAGGCATGGAATTCCCATTAATGTCAGTGGGGGTTCCATGTGCTGAACATAATGAGAATATGCTTTCAAGTATGTACACAATAATTACTTGTGATTATGTGGTACACCAAAGAGCTTAATTTGACTGTACTTTGAGAATATGTTACAGCCAAATTCTACCTCTCCCTGCTACAAGAGCAGACTGCAGCTTAACTGAAACCAAATATGTGCAGGGATTGAATATTATATTGCTCTGAGGTCTGGAGGTTGCTACATTCAGGCTTGAACCTGTGCCAAAAAAAATTCTTTCAACCAAGGGACCAAATAGGTTGATAATTTTCAGCTCTTTACATGTGACCAAAGATAGAAACAAGTAGTGTGCACCATTCCAAATCTTTCCCTTTATGTCACACACTTCTTTTGCAAACTCTTCCAGGACCATTTGTATAAGCCATCTTCTTGGTTATCTTCTGTTGAATCCAGGTACAATTTATGAGGGTTTTTTTTTGAGCCAGAATGACCAACAATAGCAGTTCATAGATAATCCTGGCCACAAAAGAGGAATTTTAGTCTCTTAATATGACATAGAATTTCTTGCTCTCTTGGCCCCTGGGGAGATGGGTAGTATGCCTGATACTGTCCTTTGCTAAGCAACCCTGCTCCTGTTCCAGCAAATCACATAACGAGGGGGAACATTAAACATTTGAATAGTTTCAATTAAAAAGAGTAAGAGACATGTTTTCATTTAAAAGTATGTGAAGTACATTGCTGGAGCAGGGACAAAATGGGCAGTCTGAGGAAGAGGCAGAGCTGTACCAGTGCCCTTTAGTGAGCTGATGAAAATGCATTCAGAACCAGTCGGCTTTTCTTAACAAAAGTCCAGTGTTCTGGTGAGAAAGGCTTAATATGGACCTTTTCTCCTTCTTGGAAAATTTCCCTTTATTGTCTCCTGAATTTATATCTGGATTTAACAGAGAGATTAAACTTTTTCAGTTAGTTTTATACCTGTAGACCTGGAGGTGCTTTACAAAAAGAAGTCAGTAGCATTATTCTTGCTTTTCACCACGTTGTAAAAGTGAGACAGTGGAAAAGAAGTGGCTTGCCCACCCACATCCATTTCATTTGATTCAAAATCATTGTGTTTAAAATATTGTACCTCATATCTAGAGAGTTTCCAAAGGAATCTGCCATGTTAAATTAAGTTTGTAAGATACACATAGGTAGGGAGCAATTTTACTGATGAGCTAAATGGGCTTTTTTCATTCAAATGTTTAAAAATTGTAAATAAGGTACAAATTTAGTTGATACAACTTCCCTTGGGTTCTACAGAATGACAGATCGCTGCTGGAACATTCAAATTCCATTTTAGTGAAATTTCTTCTGGATCTAACAACGTCTTCAGAACTTAATGCTGCTTTGATTTCCTCCTAGAGTCTCTATGACTTATTTTGTAGTCCTTATAATTAGAAATTCACATCTAGTCATGCTTCTTGAAGAGATACAGTCATTATGAAAGCATAATTATTGGGACAGCAAATTATAAATTAACATTATTGCATGTTATTAAACTTCTGCTTTTCCTGTCATAAAGATGACCGGTTCTCAGTCCTTTTTGGTTTAGTGAGAGATAACTTTTCCTGCTCTAATATGTATATTACAAAACTTGGCTCATAACACTTCCCTTCATTCCATAAGCCATAAGAGGACAATTCATTATGTACAGCAGGCCTTTGTAGAACTGACAGCTGCGCTGTAATTATCTTCACACGAATATTTGTAATCGGACTTGAAACTTGGATAATTGAGCTAATGTGTTTTGATCCATGAGGTTTTGTATTGAGCTCTCTGAATGTAATTATACTTCATAAACACTAGCTATTTTTTTTTTTTCTTGTAATCAGTTCTTCCTTGTAAAATGGAGTTTCTTCGGTGAGCGGCTGCACAGGAATTAGCACAAAAGAAAGTTTCTTGTCAGAAAAAAAAAAAAAAGATTTCTTCTAGAGCTGCTTTTGAGCAGATAGCAAGTGAAGTTCCTTTTGCGTTCCAAATAAGAATGATTCAAAAATGTATGTGATCAAACAGAGCTGATGTTGCAGTAAAAACATCCTGCTGTATGTAGAAATCAGACTACAAACAAAGTACAAATGAGACATTTGTATTTATCTTTTTCCAAGGGAAAGGTAATGAACTGGTATTGATGTTTCTCTTCATGCATTTTTAATGCTAAAAATGTTCTTTGTATCTCACATTAAATACCCAATTTTTCCTCTTATTTTTCCTTTGTGACTTGTTCTTTAACTTTTTAGATTTTTTTACTCCTATGCTCTGATGAATAAAAAAGGTTTGAGGTTATATCTGCATTCAGAACTCGGCACCAAGTCATTGACTTGGGGAAGGATGTTGGCTTTTTTGGGGCAACCATTTATTAGCCTGACCCTTACCTTGAAATTTGTTGGTTTTCATGTGTTTATACTAACTCAGGATACATAAAGAAGAATGAAACCAATGGATAGAGGAGCAGTGCCTGTCTGTATCTGTGGCCATTATTTCAGTCATTAGGAATGGTGGTTTCATGATAGAAATATTAAGAGAAAATATAACTTTCTCTCTTAGTTTTAAGGGAAATCAAATAATTCTCTCTCAGGCAAGGTACAAAGACTCAAACAGAATTTTTCCATTCTATTAAACTTTTCGGATTTGGGGGGTGTTCTGTGGGGTTTTTTTGTGGTTTTATGATTGGTTTTTTTCTGAGGGGAGGCTGGTAGTTTAAGGGTTTTTGAGGGTTGTTTGTTGGTTGGGTTTTTCTGGGTACAAATATCTCAGTCTGTCAATTCTAATGTCTAATTCTAACCTATTAGTGTCTTCTACAAAAATCTCAGATTTGCTAACTAGTCTTGTGATCATAACCTATACTAATATGGGAAAGATAAGGTTATCCCTATACCACTAATATTGTTTAAAAATAGAAAATAATACCTGAAACAGGGACTTTCTCAGGCTCACATGTTCTGTAAGGAATGAGGAATCCTTCAGTGCTCTCTCTCTTTTTTCAGACCCATTGGTTTCTCTGAATGTTATAAATTACTACTAATCTCCTACTGGAGATCCATAAAATATTCTGCAGATAGATGTGTGAGTGCAGCATACATGTGTGGGCTTAAGTGTTTGCTTTTTAATATTTTGGATGGAAATTTGAATATTTAATATTTTAATATTTTTAAAATTTTGAATGGAAATATCTTGGGCAATCTATTGAATTTTCTTTTCTTAATATACTTGTTTGCATTGGCCGCTTGTTAAAAGGGATGGGGTTTTCACCCTGGAAAAACCAAACGTGGTGTTCAATAAGCAAAAGACAAATCTGGGTATGGCATGTGCTGGCTGTTTGGATACTACTCAATGAGCATTTGTTTTCTTCTCTGTGGAAAAATTTCATTCTTTCAGTTTTTGTACTTGATTAACCTAGAGATCCCAGCAGAAATTCTGCATACCAGAAACCCCCCAGAAGTTAGTCATGGAGCATACTTCCTGTCTAAATATAATCCATTTGCTATAAAGGAGAGAAATATTTTTGTTCATTCTTGTTTCTCTTTATCTATTTAATATAGTAGTCTAAAAATACACTTTTTTGGGGGAAAGGGCCAAGCAGTCTAAAGCAAAACAGTTGCAAAATCCCATGATTTGTAAAACTCATAATTCATTGTGCATAAAAGTTTGATTCTTTAGGTGGGCTCTGGGTCAGGCTGGTTTATACGTATCAGACAAGAGGAATATTTAACTAGGTTTTATTCTTGATCTTAGATGCTAAATTTCTTGAGGATGGTGAAATGCACAAGCTGGTGTGTAGAAGGTAAAGCTGCCTCGATGGATTTAGGTGGTTTTTTAACAAATTTAAATGCAGATGATGTTCAGTGGGACATTTTTCAAGGGAAACAAGTCATCTGGCAGGCTGTTATAAGATGAAAGTACTTTTGGGGGTAAATATACATGTAACTATAAAATACAGAGCATGTAACATATATCTTAATGGTCTATTGCTACCAATTTGACACAAAACCATTACCATATTACCTGCCAAAACAGCGCTGTGAGAAAGGAATTTTAGTCACAGTTCAAATTTTATTGACAAAGACCATTCCCAGTAGATCAGTGTCTCAGAAATTCATGTTATAATTGTGAAGCAATAATTGTTAGGCAACAGGAGGCTCAAGCTCCCTTGTAACTGGTACTTGCTCAGCCAGGACTGTGGTACATGAGACAGAAGAACCCAAGCAGTCTTGTTTGACCAAATCAGAACTGTCAGTTTGCTGAAATTCCCAGCCCCAAATTAGGACCACAAGTAAATGAACCCTGTAATGAAGACGTTATTGTCAGTATTTAAAAGATCAGCATAAGCACTAAGTGGTTGCTCGTGGCTGTCCCTAACCTCAATCTTGGGACTCATCCACGCTCCTGCAGGGCCAGAATGCAGAGCAGCTCCGAGCTCAGTGGAGGAGGCTGCATGTCAAACACGTCACAAAATGCAAAGGCAGCAGTGTGTAAGCCCACAAGGGTGCTGAGTCCTGTGTGCAATCATTTCACAGCCTGGACATTAAATTGGGTTAATTTGGGCCTGTTTGGCTGAGACATGTAACTTGTCCTGATGTGATATGTGTGGGCAAGTTTTCATGATTTGCCAAGTATGTGTCACACAAATGCCACATTTGGCCTTCCCTGACAGCCTTTGGGAGTACTTTTTAAACTGCTGAGTCAAGCAGCTTGTTGAGAAAGACCCTCACAGAACACAAAGGAGAAGATTGTCAGCCAGTTAGAAAGTTAGACCTCAACCCTGAAAAAAATCATGTAAAAGGACAGTGGGCAATTTTTTGGCTTTGGTTATTGAAGCTAATGTAGATTAGATGTACCAACATCTGGTTTCACAAATATCTGGCATAGCTGAAAAAAGGAAGAAGAGCAGATTATTGTGAATGAAAGAGTTGATAATAACCCCTTGATAGCAGCCTTGTGTGGAAAGAGGACACGTTGGCTAACCAACACTTGTCCAGGAATGTATGGGAAAAGCCCCATTCACTCCCATGCTGAGTGTATGGAGCCCAGGTAAGAATAAATACTGTGCTGAAGTATTTTGCTGAAGGAGAAGGTTTATCAAAGTGTAGGATTCTAGCACAATGCTCCTAGAACAGGACTTATGGAGTGTGTATGAATCCACAGATATGGCTTGTTTGTCCATTATGTGCTTGCCTGGGTTTTTCCTCTTAGATGAAATAAAAATACAGCCCTTCAAGCTGGCTGTCAGATGTGGCTCTGTCTGGCCACATTTAGAGGTCTGGCTAGGTTTCAAATTAGGGTGGAAGTGTGAGAAGGGAGATGTGTTAAAGAGCTATGAGGTGTCCACCAGATTGACACAGAGCACTCTGTCCCGCCCTCAAGCTTTAGACAGGGATTGTTGAGAGCATGGAAAGCAGCTACTGACATGTAATAACTGCCCATATAGACCTTTGCAGCAATGAGAGAATTAATATTACCGGAAAGATAAATGAGACACTGCAAATTCTGCTCACTTTTTGTGAATATATTGTCTTGAACTTACAAGTCTGGAGAAATTCCCCTGAGTGCTGTAAAGTTAGAAAGGTTACATGTTAAGACAAAGGAGCCCCTAGGATTTAGTTATTCATTCTTCCTATTGAGCTGGAAAATCTACTGTAATATCATTGGTCCTGGCCATAAGGTCAGTATTTCCCTAAATTCTGTGTGAGTAGAATTTAGTATTTTAATATTTCTGCTTCAATTTAAAAGCTGGTTCCATAATGAGGACTGTGTGGTATATTGACTACTAAAGTGGCAGGGAACTCCATTAGGGCATACTAAACTTTGAGCTGCCCATGTTACAGGTGTGACTTCTGAGCAAAGTAGAAGTTGTAAAGGTTTTGAATTTTTATAGACCTGACTCTTAATCCTCAGAACCAGTTATGCTGGACAAAAGATGATTTAGGTATTTCCTTTGTGTTTGCAGGCATCTGGAAAGAGCTGAGGTAGTAGGATAGATCAAGGAAAAGGAAGACCAGCATGGAGAAGTTATCAGATATGCATTTGATGGGCTCTTTTTAGGCTGCAGTGATCAGAATGCTTTATCAGAATCCTTTGGCCTTAGGTTGGTGCCCAAGACCAGATTGGGTAAAATCCTTTTGAGAAAAAGCAGTGAGCCAAGAGATCTCCTTTCCATCCTGGCAATTTAAGGTAGTACCCTGTTTGAGCCTGGCTGGATTAAATCAACCTGAGAGACCTTTGAGCATCACCAGCTACTAAACAGTGCTTCTCCTGTTAGAAACCATTGGCTTATTAAAATTGGCTGGTGTTCTTTCCAATATAGCCAGACACGTAAACCTCTGTTCACGTCCCATTGCCTTCAAAGAGATCTGTGAAGAAGGGTCTGTAATAGGCCTGACTGGATAATATTTGCAGTTCAAAATGTGTGTTTGAAACTGGTTGAATTTTGCAAAATAAACTAGACCCCAAAACACAGATGGTAGGATGACATTCAGACAGACATAATTTATTTTCAAACCTGAGGTTTAAAGTTCTGCCACTTTTCTTGCTGATTTTCCTCTAGACAATCAACCATTTAACTATGCCAAGGAAAAAAACAAAAAAAACCCAAACAAATCCACAAAAAACAACAACAAACCAAAACTAAACAAATAGGAAGACTGTAATGACTGTAAATGTCCGAGATTTTCTTCAATTGTTGTATTTGTGTTGGCCATGTGAACTCAATTTTTAGTGGAGCATAAATTATTATCCCTGGGTTCTGTGTAAATCAAAGAAAAGAAAAGGCAGAACACCATTTTGCTGATTCAGAGCTTGGGAAACCTGCATATCTTGTGCTTTTGTTACTGTTTTGATCTGCTTTGCCCCAATTCATAAACCCATTTGGTGAAGATTATAACACTCTGGGCAAGTTAAAGACTTCTAAATTCAGTGACTTCTGAGGATACTTCAGCTTTTAATAGTGCCAAATCCAAAACAATTGTAAGCATCAAAGCTGTAGGTTTCATGCCATTTTCACAGTACTGTGTTCTTTTGTGTTTCAATCCAACCCAGGACATTACCAGCTTGCTTCATACCATCTATGAGGTAGTTGATGCATCAGTAAACCATTCTCCTAGTTCCAGCAAAACTCTGCGAGTGAAACTCACTGTGGCACCAGATGGCAGCCAGAAAAAAAAGAGTATCTTGTTGAATCATACTGGTAAGGATGTGCAATCAGCCATTGGAAAAAATACAGAAAACTTCCTGAGCCCCTTGAAAATCCATCTCTGTATTTTGTTAATACAAATGTATATATACTTAAAGGCAAATAATTATGTGTTTTTTTTAAACCCCATTAACCTGCTTTATGATCTTGAATAGAAAATTACCTGCCCTCCTTTCAGTCTCATTAGCAAATGAGGTTTCTGATGGATTGCTTCTTTAGGAAGCAGCAGTAACTCCTATGAGCTGTAATTGTCTTTGTGCTCTACAAGGCAGGTCTAAGACCTTCTTGGCGTCCACCACTTTATTTCTGCTGGTATTGCAGCACTTGATCTGTGTGGAAGCAGGTGTAGGGGTGTAAAATGTTTCTTGCCAGTGCATAGCTACCAGTGCTGCTGGATAAAAATAAACAATTAAGCATAAGTAAACAATCTGTGCATAAAAATTGCACATTTTCTGTGCTGGCAGAGTTTGCCATTATAAAAAGGTTCATACCATGATAGGTCATCCAACTTATCCTCACTGTAATAATGATTGTATTAGCATAATTACTTCAGTAGGTAGAGTAGTACTAAATTGAAATACTTAAAAGTATTTAAAATAATACTTCATTAGAAAATGTAGGTATCAGATCTAAAAGGAGAGCCTGGCCACCTCAATTTTAATAAAACAATCACTCCCTCAAGAACAAACACAAGCCAGTTCTCACTGCTGGGGAGCTGGCTGAATTGTCACTGAATTGTCACTGTCACTGAATTGTCAGCACTGAGCCTTCAGTGTGATTGTGGCCCCACCTGGGCTTCCACATGGAGTGCAGGATAAATCTAACCCTGGCTGATACCCTGCAGTTGAGGTTACATCTGAGTAAAATCTGTCCTGTGGGCAAAAGCAGGACTGAGAAGGTTACATGAAGTGATCACATGCTGATCTGCTGACACGAGCAGCCGTGTTTGCAATGTAGAGTGTTAGTTGTGCTGATCAGCAAGGGCAGCAACGTGGCAATAATGTACTTTCTCTTGGCAGATCTGCAGAGTGCCAGGCACAGGGCTGAAAACAAAGCTAATGAAGAAGCAAGAAGCTCTGAGAAGAAGCAGAGGGCTTCCCTCAGGTAAGGGGAATGAACCCTGATTCCTGACAGGCACTGGGGACCTCTGAGGAAACCTCAACCATTGATTTCTTGCTTGATTATTTTATTTTTAAAAATTATTTTAAAATAGAAGAATTACAGGAGTTTTCATTGTGGATTTAAGAGCAGATTCCATAGCTGGATACTTATTTTAAAACAAAACAAACAAAAAAGAAAAAAAAAATCTTGATATTTTCTTCTTCTATGAGCTCTGTGGAGGATCTGAATTGTCTTTTTAGATGCCATCTGCAAATAAGTGAGGCAAATAGCACAGCTTTTTGACTAAAAGTATCCTAAAACCTTTTCATCTCCTTAGTGGCTGTCTCCTGCCTTTCTCTGCCCTCCTTCCAGCCCATTTTTTCACTCATCAACTCAAATAGTGCTGAGTTTTACATGGGCTAACTTGGTTACCAGCTCATAACCCAACCAGAGTGCTGACAGATCATCTTGGTGCATATTTGATATATTTCAGGATTTTATGTTTCATAACAGAAACTGCTCATAAGGAAGAGGAAAGTGTTTGCTGAACTGTTACAGTAATGACTTTGACTCATTAATTATGTTTGTTTCTTCAGCTGCAAATTTAAAAATAAAAAAAACCCAAGCTTTTGGCTTTCTTTAGATTTAGGGATATTTGTCTGGATACATAACAAATTTATCAGGAGAAGGAGCATTCAGTCTTATTAAAACTGACAAGAGAACAGTACCTCCCTTTTTTGGAAGGAGAAAAAATGCTAGTGAGTTATCCCAGTCAGCAAATCCCAGTACAATCAAATTTCAGATTAAAAGAAGAATAAAATTACTATTAATCTTGTGTCAGCAACTCTGCACAAAATCTGCTATGAACTGAAGAATGCTCCATAGTTTTACTTGCTGGCCTAGATGTGGTGTGCAGATTCTCTCTGCCCATTAGCAAAGTTCTGCCCTGTGTGAATTCGATAGACTGGTTTTGTTTGATAATCTAGTGCAAAAATCCCCTTTTAGTTTGAACTCCCCCTCAAATCCATCTTAAATTCCTGGCTCTGCAATTGTAGTGTTTTTATGTACAACAGGCACTTCCAATTAAATCCAGAGTCATGGAAGCATCAGATGTTGGGACAAAATGTTTGTCCTTCTCATTCCTTTGGTGAGAGGCTTCGTCGACAGAACAAATCTGTGTCTTGAGCTGAGTAGATCAGCATCAGACAATGATCAGCACCTGACAGTTTTTGTTGCATCCCACTAAATATAGGCAGGGTGAAGTGTGCTGTGCACATTGTGTGTGTTTCAGGGATGTTTGTGCAATCTGGCCAGGTTGACAACCCTCAGGAAAGCTGCTGAGGCTCAGATCAGAATCTCACAATATTAATGCAATTTCTTCCCCTTTGAAAGCAGCAATGAGAACTTGTGAGAAGTACACACATTTTACATGTTCATTCACTTAGGAAGGAATTCTAGGCAAGACATGATTAATATTCAAGATAAAGTGGATAGAAATGTTTTTATCCTGAAGGCTGGGAGAGAAATGGGTTGGATTTTTCATTAGCTGTAAGGTACAGGCAGGAATTTTCACCTGTAGGGCTAATATGGGTATCAAGATAAGTAGCTAGATTCTTGGCTAGATAGCCTGGTTCTCCCTGGCTGACATGAACTTCGTGTTCTCAGTGAGTGAGGCTTTCAGGGGGTGTCCCTGCATCTTCTGCCCTGTGCTCTGTCACTGCTCTATTCCTCTTTCCTGCTATATTATTGTGTGCTTCATGCCATCAGGATGACACATCTGCATGGGAATTTTAGAAAGGACTTCCATACACACCACAAACTCTTCAGCAGATGCCATTTTTATTAAAACCAAAACCAAACCAAGCACAACCCCAGTAACAGCATTGTGCTTTTACACAGTCCGCGATGCATGGTTGATGCCTGCCCAAGTCTCCCCACGTGTTTGCAGGACAGCAGTGTGGGCCTGGATGCCAGACACTTCCCAGAGTGCCTGAAGTTCCCTTTGAGAGTGGAGCACATCTCTCACCAGTGTATAATTGCTTCGCTGTGTATTTGCCTGAATATTGTGGAACATCATCTTGCATGTAAACAAGTTATTAGATTGTAGGGCTGTGGCAGTACTGGCATCATTTTTCTTCTCTGTCTTGATGAGAGATTGAATTTATTACAGTAACAAAACAACAGGTTCCCTGTTAGCTTCATTTCCAACTGACAATGCTGTATACAGTGTTGCTTAATTGTGTTGGATCAAACTCAATGATGTTTTTTCTGGGTTAGCTGTGCATTGTCTTCAGCACATGTGTGCAAGTCCCAATGGTTTCTGTAGGTGATTCATGCCTGGCAGCTTAAGTTAGGCAAGTTCTAGCCCCAGAGATCTTGTATGTTGACTTGCCAAATGTAACAACTGGCAAAGTTGTGTCTGAGGCAGGAAAGGTACTGAGTTGGTTAGGTATCTAAAAAGCAAAATATACAGATGTATATTTTATATTATATACAAAAATGTATATGGACATTCCCCTTTTTTTGGGGGGTACCCCATGTCACTTGTGGAGTTCAAAGCTGACTCAGAATCTTTAAACCTTACCTGCTTTCTAGGCAGACTCTCCTCCATTCAGGAGACTCTACCTCTATCAAAGTTGACCAAAAATGATCTTCCAGGTAGTTCAAGTCTTTTGTCTTTAGTCAAAGAAGCTGCAGACCTGTGTCTGACAGAGACACGAGGGGTCTCTGTTCTGTAATGTCCCTGAGCAGCAGAAGCTAGACCAGGAGGGCCATTTGTGCCAAAGCTCAGGGGGATCAGCAGCCTCTGCAAACCTGGAAATGTGTTAATAGACTAAAAGCAGAGTACTGGGCACCATACATTACAGACTCCACATTTAGCAGCTGCTGTAGGATACCAGGCCAAATTCTGATGTTAGGTTGACATCAGTGCACTTGCACAGAGAAATAGCAGAGCCAATCTCGTGGTCTTGGAAACTGAGCTGTCTGAATGACAAGCAGCAACTTAATCAAGAGTTTTGTGCTTATCCTTTCTGTTTGTTATGTTGAAAATATTGTTCATATTTGCAGACTTCCCATTTAAATTGCTGAATTAAATTGTTTGGCATTATGGGCTACAATACTGTAAACTTCTGTCTGATATTTTTCAGCCTCATAAATGAATGGTATTTCAGATATTCATTCTCAGGAAATAGTTCTGCTATAAATAAAATTGCAAAGCTGAGCAGGAAAAGGAGTTGAGATTCTAAAGCCAGCATCTGATCTGACCTTATAAATTGTATTTTGGAAAGCAGCAGTTACCTCTGAATGTCCTACCAACACCTTCTCTTCCCAGGTTCTCTCTAGTTACTACACAGTTACTACACAGTGCTGATGCCTGTCTTTCTGAACACATGAATATTTATCTGGATTACCCCAGCACTTCCTCACAGCGGTGGGAATGGTCATGAATCAAACAGCAGATTTTCTTTGGCATGTCCAAATTGAAGAACAAGTTGAATTATTTGGCCCTAAGACCGAAAGTAATAAATGCTAGGAGTTATTTTGTTTGCTTTTGCACGTGTGATGCAATTTGAAGGTCTCCTTTGCTTTGCAACATGAGGGTTGATTTACATGAGGGGAAAGAAGAGTCAGTTTAGGCCTATCATCATAGCAAATCTGGTCATCCAGAATTTCAAGTGTTTGTTGTTCCTTTGTGAGCAGCTCCTGTCACTTCAAAGGGTCCGTTAGTTGTTGGTTTGCAGATAGTGACAAAAACTTTAAAGAAGTTCTGCTGAATTGTAATTTTGCTTCCTGCTGACAGATACCACCAGAGTGAGAACAATCCAGAGCAAAGTGGGTGCTATCGTCATTGTGTAGATGAGAACATTGAAAGGAGAAACCACTATTTGGATCTTGCAGGAATAGAAAACTACACATCAAAGTTTGGGCCAGGTAATTTATGTTGTAACCTCATAATCTCTTCTTTCTTCAGTTGCATGTTCCATATCAGGGACAGTGAATTGTGAAGCTGTGTGATTTGTCTGTAGTGACTCAGAAATAGGACTGTGAATACTGCCAGATAATTACTGGTGAAGCTGGTATCACAGCAGAGTGGCTAATGTGCTGTGAGGCTGCTTTGATGTGCTTGTTTGCGTAGCTAAACTTGGAGCTGAGCCTAGGAGAACAATCTTTACATCTAATTTATTAAGTTTAGGCTACGGGTGAGGCAAGGATTGACTTTTGGATGTTGGGGCTTGTTCCCAAGATGAGACCAGCACATATTTTATTCTCACTACTGACCCAAAAATAGAAGAATATGTGTTCATACCTGGAATTTTGGCTCTAGTCCCCAAATCAAAGAGATTTGGATTTCCTTCATTTCCCTGCCCTCTGCCAGGGTTTTACTATTCCCCTCACAGTTAATTTGATGACCTAGAGTTGGTAACATAAAGATTTTTATACACATACACACACACACATACGTTCAGTCTTCTCTAGATAGGTATTCATATTTGTGTATTATTTACTGGCCAGAATTATTAAATGTAATTAAACTAGACAGCTATAATTGCATTCACTTCCTTAGGAAAAATTTGTTCTGCCGATAATACTATCCCTGCCAACTGCATGCTACTAATTAAAACTTTGAAATACTAGATGACTAACTCAGCTTGTTATTTCCTAGGATCTCCTCCAGCAGCTCAAAAACATGACCCACCAGGCAGAATTGTGAATCAAACTAGATCCCGTTCTCATGAGCCTGAGACCTTCCATGCTCACCATAGGAAATCTCAAGTGGTGGATCCAAACCACATCAATCTGGCTGAAAGTTCATATGCCAAAATTGCAGAAATCCAGCAGAGGCTCCGGAACCAGGACTCAAACAAGCACTTTGTGAGGTCTCCCAAAGCCCAGAGCAAAAATGTGGCTCCTGTGCATCCTGGAAGGGCAGTTAGAAACAAACCTTTTCAAGGGGTGCCCTTGCCCATGGCTTCCCCAAGTGCACGCGTGGGCCAGAACCTCCCGTACCTTCCCTTGCAGTCCCAACAGATCCACAAGAAGCATAAGCAGAGGGCAAAGGAGAATCACCAAATGTGCAAAACCTTCCAGTCTCCGGGGACAGTTGTGGAAAAGGAACATGTGAGAGACCTACCCACAGTCATTTTGTATGAAGGGCAAGTGGGACAAATGATACAAAGACATGAGCACCACCACCATCACGAGCACCACCACCACTACCACCACTTCTACCAGACATAGAAGAGATCCCACCAACATCCTCCAAGAATCATCCCAAATGAAGGAAATGCGTTCTTGTGATACCAGAACTAAGGCATTACTATGATCAATATTATCATTACTCCATTAATATTCAGCTAGCATATATTTTAGAGGTTATATGGGACTCTTGAAACTCACCCTATTTATATGTTGTGGAACAGCATAGCTTACTCAAACACCTTGTGGATTGTTTTTTTTTTGTTTGTTTGTTTTTTTTTAAGTGGCTTGTAGAACAGCAAACAGCCATAGCTTTTTGAGCTGTGATTTAATACAGGTCGTCAACGCACTTCTGTACAAGTACTACTTCCACTGTACTCGGAAAGATACTTCAAACACTCTTGCAGACATCTAGCTTTCCACTCTGCTGTATGTCGGCTGATCGCACACAAGCCTTTCATCAGGGGAGCAATGTTCGAAGGGTTGGACTCCAGAGATACTCAGATAATGGAAAATACAAACAGCTGCTACCTCTAGTATTATTCAGATTTTATTTTCTTTTTATTGATTGTAATGTGCTACAGGGGGGAATTCTAATATACTGTGTTCATGTAGCCTGTTTGTGTTCACATCCTTTCAAATCATCTTAATTACAAGGAAATATTAGCTAAACTTGTCAACAGGGCTACATTTGTATGGCTTACACTTTATTTTCTTGGAGATTCTTCATTGATACAAGTACAGTCTGTTATATACTGGGTAATATTTAAACATACTTCTTTTATTTTTGGTTTTTCTCTTGCTTATTCTCCACTCTGGGGTACCATTTGAAAAGAGGAGGATGTGAAATGGGGTTTTCCAAAGCATCACTAGACTTTAATGCTTGGGCCATAAGTATCATTCATGGGGGTTTGAGAAGGAGAGGGGTTGACTGGGGGGGTTTGTTTTGTTTAAATCCACAGTTCTTTGTTTTGAGAAAGAATTGAGGAAAATATACTTTCTCACTTTAAATGTTGGCAAATATATATAAAATATAAATATAAATATATATATATAAATATGCACACTCTCAGGTACATTTTGTTGTGTTTTAGAAATCTGTGGTTTGAATATTAACATTATATTTGTTTTTTTCCACAACAGTGACTTTTTAGAAACATATGCCATGGCATTTTCTTGGTGCCTCCAATTTGAATTTCCCAAGCACCTATAAATTTGTCCTTCTCCCATTAAAGAGACATGTATAAAAAAATATCATTCACAATCTTTCTGGATTCTTCTACTTTTTCCATATCAAAGGGCTTCCATTCCATGAGGGAGAATAAGACCACACTCAATTCAGGCCTTAATGGCTGCTGAGAAATTTGAAGGTCAAAAGACAATTGGAAAAGTTAAAAAAAAAAAAAAAAAAAAAAGGAAAGGGTCAGTACATTGATGTTTTGCTTTCTGTGGAGCCCAGATTTAAAATAGATTCAGTTGGGTTTTGTACAGATCATCATTTGTGCAGGTAGAAAGTGACTGGAAAACACCTTCATTTCTTTTGGATCATTAAAGTAGAGAACTCCTACATAAAGACATAATTGTTCTATAAATGTATTTGCTTTTGGTTTTAATTATTTTTAATGTTGTGGTATTTTGTCAATAGTATATATTGTAAAATGTAACTATCCAACATTGTTATAAGCCCTTTATGATTGGGGTATTTTTTGTTTTCTGACTAGAGTTTTGATCAGTCCAAAGTGGGATATTACCTTACTGCTGACCAGTTTTAGAGGGATGTTGTCCTTTCTAAGAACACAGAGACATCACCTTGTAAAGAACAGTGGGAAGCCTTGCCTTCTTGTGGAATTGGAATAGAATCACTGCTTCATGGTAATTAGGTCCGTCTCTTGTCTCCCTGGATCAGCAGATGTTTAGACTTATTGTCCCCTTTAAAAATCTGGTTTATTTTATTTTACTTTTTTTAGCTGTCTACAGTGTGTTCTGTAAAATCTAACAAAATGTTTTTAAAATGCGTTTGATCTGTGTGACAACTATACTGTTCTGTTTATTTTAAAATTCCTAAAGTCCAAAAATATTTATATGCAGAATTTTCTGTGTTGAAAATATGAAAAGGCCACAAATTTGGTTAGTTACCACTGAGTTGTTCTAGTCTAAGCCTTTTTTGCTGCTTGTGTATCATTCTTTTTCAATGTATATATAATTATGGACTGCAAAAAAAAAAAGGCATTTATATGTCTAGTAGAAGGAATAAGCTTATTTATATTATAGTGTTAAAAGAAGTCTGATGTATTCAAGTGACTTTCATTATACCGCATGCAAACACACAGTGTACATTCCATCTAAGAAGGGATGCCATGCTATTTGTTTTGAAGAAGTAATTAAAGCTGTTCTCTTTTCAGTAGAGCATGCCAGAAAGACTGACAGGTGGAAATTGTTCTTAGTCAATTTTTCTTAAATGCAGATTGTTGCTGACAACCAGAAAACATTCTGGAAAACTCGAGTGCTTTCAGAATTGTGGGGCTTTCTAAGAAGGGGCAGCAAAGGGGTAAAACTGCTCCTTCACCCAAAGATATTTTGCTGGAAAACAGCAGCACTACCAAAATCCCATCTGACTGAGAAGTGTGCAGTGCTGGCTGTGCCAAGTGAGCTCTGACATGGAACACGACTGGCCATTTGTTACAGCCTGGCATTGATTTGGTTTGGTTTATTATATTTGGACATTCAAAAGACAAATTCTGCCTTGCTCAGAGTGTGTGAAGCACAAATGCATTTTAATAACATGGCATCCCCTTACGAAAACTTTACACCAGCCATGTATGAATATACAGTATCTAAATACTGTGTTGCAGTTGTGTTATGTGCATTATAAGTGTGAATAACATGTAGCACAGTTTCTTTTCACAGAACCTTAAATTTCCCTATCTTTTAAATATGTTTGCTTTTCAGTATTTTGTATAGTAAATATAGATGGTTTTGACTAAATGCTTTATTTATTTAACAACAAAAACTGTGCCAAGAGAACCCCCTGTTAATTAAAGTTTTACTAGTTCAGAAAGTATATTTCTTTCTTCTTGTTGTGGATTTCAGGGGCCTATTGCAATTGCTGTCAGTGCTTGCAGATCCCACTGATGAAAGAGCTTGCATTAACATTTTTGGGAACAGGATCAGGAAATTACGTATGGACTGGGTATGCTTTGGTCTAATATTTAAAATATCAAGTTTCAAAGTTAAATGTCTTGTCCCCTGCTGTTGGACCTGTGTTGAGTAACTGGTATTTCATCTTGCTATTAATTCTGAAAGCTTTTCCTTAAAAAAAAAAAATATTGTTTTAAGCTTTTCAAAACCATAGCTGAATCAAAATTTGAAATAGTTTAGTTTCTGGTTAAACAAAACATTTATTTCCAGAGAAAAAATATCAGAGTTGAGTATATTGTTAATATTGAAAATAAAATGGAGTGACATTAAGTAAGTTCAGATGAAAACTCCAGACTTTTCACTTCCTTCTTCTGTTTTTACAGAAGGCAGTTCAGCAAAATGAAGTCAATCCTGAAGTTTGCACTACTTGCTGAAAAAATTCAATTGAAAAATTTTGCTCATCTCTACCAGCTGCAGTTCTGGGGAGTACGGTGTTTTGAAAAGGATTGCTAAGCTCTTCTCACAACTTCATGACCACAATGCAAATTAACCTAAGCTAAGGCTGTGAAGTAAAATCTCTATCCCAGTGAAATCTCTGGCAAGACTGCCAGGTTCCTGCTTGCTGCAGGGTGCCTATAAATTCATTCCAGGAAGGTGGGTTTGAAGTCTACATAATGTGCAGCCAGGAACTTCAATATTTATTTTTTCTGCATCTTACTGCTGATGGGTTTTCTAATAGTAAATGGAAGTTTTGCTGTAAGAGATCAAACTGGTAAATTAATTAAGATTAGCAGCAAATACTCTTTACACTGTTGTCATTGGAGGACCTGAGGGCTTCCAAATGTCTTTGAAACAGCCACATGCCACTTAGTCATTGTCAGAAATGGAGACCCCATCTCTGCCCTTGGATGGTGAGATTCTCCTGGCATAGTGGCAGACAGCCCCAAATATATGACCAAATGTATGACCTCTGTTACGGTCTTTCTACTGCAGTCACCGTGAGCATAGAACAGCAGTGTTTAGCTGGAGAAGTACTTTAAAGTGTGTGTGTGTTGTGTACATGTGTATATATATATATTATGTGTGTGTGAGGGTGTCCTCTGGCAGAAGTGAGTGGATGGAACAGAATGGGTTCTGACAGAGGTGTTTTTTCCTAAAGGGACGAGCACTGTGTGTGCTCTGTGGTCCATGAGCACACGGCTCTGATGAGTGCATACTGTTCTCCCTGTGTCATCGTGTACCTCAATTACTAAATGACAGATTTCATTTCTATTCCAATTAACAGGAAAGTTGGGCCCCTTTGGGCCTAGATTATACTTGAGAAAAATTCATCATGCTAGAAAATTTGCAAAAACATTCTCCATGATTTTTGCCAGTAGTACAGGCAAGAATGTTCATGTTTGGAAACATGTCAGCTAATCAAGTCGCACCTTTAATTACCTTGATGCAATTCATCAAGATCTGAAAATGCATTTTCAAACATGATTTATTCATGGCTTTGCTGGGAACTAAGTCTTATTCAGCATCCTATTAATTGTCAGACTTCTTTGGTTTTGGCTTTTGGTTTTTTTTTAACATACCAGCAGAAACATGTTTGAAAATCCATGAACTAAAAATTGAACCTAATGTGTTTTCTAAATAGCTTCTGGAAGAAGATTTCTTTCCTAACGCACTTAACAGCAAAACCAGCCTCTATTTATGACATAATAATGTATTTTTTTTTGCATTTTTGAACAGATGTTGATTTGATTTGATTTGGGTCTTTTTTTTGATTTATATTTTTTTTTTTTTATTCTGTGCACATTTAAACTGTGCTTAAAATGGTCTAAAAGGAACAGATAGAGAAAAACTATATTGAATTTATTCAATATACATTGAAATGCATCTTATTTGAAGCTTGGATTATAGTTATTAAATGATGGGATTTTCAATGATGCTTTAATTTACTTTCATATTTCTGCATAATTCAATCTTAAATTAACTAAAATTATAGGAGTCACACGGATGAAGTCTTCTAATTTCTTTGTTTTAAACTAGCAGGATTTCAGGACTATTCAGGCAGATTACTGGGAGAGTTAGAGCTGTGAAGAAAGACTGGCAAGGGAAAGATGGAAAGATTTGAGAAGTGTGGGGATGGCACAGGACTGTCCAACAGAGGGGCTGGGGGAGACACACCAGAGGCAGGAAAATGCTGTATGGAGAACTTTTTATTCATATTACTTTTATGAATATCTTCTACAGTTTTTGCTCATAAAACAGCAACAGTAGTTTGTAGAATGCTTTTGACTGGGAAAACTTGAATGACTTTCTCTAAGAGATGAATCTCCAGTGTGCAGGGGAGGCACGAGGCAGGAAAGTTGCAGATAATCACTGGAGCTATGGCAGAATAAGGAAGGATCCCTGTTTTCCTGAGTCCCTGTCCAAGGTGAGGGAAATGTTTGTGGAAGCAGATGTTTCTACAGATGTTTTGAATATTCCTTAGAACACATTTTGAATAGTGCCATCAGTTCTTTTTCTCTTTGATTACAAACACACAAAAGTTAGTCAAATTTTTACCCAGAGTTTCAGTATCTGTCCTGATTTTTCTAAACACTAAGCACCATCTCTGTGAAATCTACTCACACAAAGGATAATCTTTATACCACAAGGAATGGCAGACTGGGCCTGTTGGTTGTCATTAACAGGCTGGCGTTCTGGGGTCTGAGAGTCTAAAGTTCCAGAGGTTTTTTTAAGAAAGTTGAAGACATCATGTTAATGTTCATAAATTTGGGGATAGGCAAACATTAACAATAACAGGCATACTGGTAGTGATGGGTGTTGTGCTTTCTGGTTTTTGGGACATGTCTGTGAGGTGGGATGTGTGTGTTCCTTTGAGTGCCTAGTCCATAAGTCCAAAGCTGCCTCTATTTACTGCCAGCTAAGGGATGTATGTACTGCTTTGGTGTTGTATTTTGTGGATGAAGATATGGGGTTCAGATCCTTCGGGTGCTGAGTGCTTATTCTTGCATTTAATCCTTCCCATTCTGTTCTATTCACAAAGTATAGCATGCTGAGGCTTTGTGAATTTTCTAATAAAACACCTAACAAAATGGGCCAAATTTGTTTTCAGCTTCATAAATGGAAGCAGAAGAGCCCCATGCATGTGTTGGAATTTGGACCTTACAAATGCAGTTTGCTATGATTCATTATTTTTTCTTGTACTAATTTCAGATATTTGATAAGCTCTTTTTATGGTTTACAAGTTTTAAAAGACAAATAAAACTTTGTAGATTAAAGC